AAAGTTCTTCGATTTGATTGGTCCGTTCTTATTTCATTTGCGTCTTGGTTTAGTCTTCTCAAGGCTGTTCGGTTGGCCGCGCTTTTCGTTTGCTATAGGTTTTCTTCTGAGCTGAGAGGGGTCCTCGTGTATTATTACATTCCCTGTTCGATTTTGTTCTTTGATGTTTCGGTTGAATGTGTATTATGGTAAACTTAGTCATTCTTTTGGAGGTGGATCCGACCGCTCCCTCCGGGTTATTTTTTATTTAGTAGTTGATAGATCGGGGCGATTCCATATGCTCCTTGATAGCTATTGCGGTCGAAAATCGGGCTTCCATGGCACTAAGTTCCCTCTGTTTGTGAACACTGTTTCAATCGAACTCGTACCGTCCCGATCTACGTGTACGCAGGGGAGTGAAGACTGGTTGTGTCTGTTGACGGCAATTTAGTGCTTGTGTAGAACGGTAGAAAGCTTCTTTTCTATCGGTCCCACATTAGGCTTGTCACAGTTTTTACAAGGAACCCTATACATGACGTTGGTCCTAGTAAGTGTCCGTTGGACCACGACGCAACAGAAATCGGAAACCGATCAACCAAACCAGCAACAGGGACTACTCAACGCACCAATCAAAAGCAATGAATACAGACCACCAAACAATACAACCGGAGACTGACCAAAATCATTCAGTCAAAAGTGTCTCCGTCAGCTAATAACACCAATAGATATTCGATAGTCTTCGACAAGCAGGTAAGGAAGAATTACCCTCCCAACCGCACATTGATGATGCTACCTGGATTGGTGACGAAAAGTTTGCACGCTAATTGTTCACCTATACGAACATATCAACGGCCATCTGATCAACCACCAACATACACTGATAACTGAAATTACTGAAACATGCGTACAAAAATAACGGTTCGTGATTTTTATAGAAATGTCCTGTCCCGAAGCACAAGACAAAGTCATTGTGAGATCAACCATGGAGTCAGGCTTCCCAAGCCCGTCACAGAGCAGCAGGCACCCCTGAAGTGAATCGGAGTTGGGGCAGACGAAAGCCAAACACTAGGAATGCAAGTCGTCTGGTAAAATTCACGCACATATTGAACGACATCATTTACGTAAACTCTCCTAGCACAAGCGGGTACCACACCCATAAATTGATAAGAACGGTTCACATTCACACAGCACACTTTAAAGTTGATTCACAGAACTGTGTGCGATCACTGGTTCCAACACATTTGAAAAGCTAGTGCTTCGCAGACATCACTTTGAAGGGCACTTTTGTCTTTATGTTAGAACTTTCAAGTGATCGAAAAGTACATACTAAAAACAACTATTACTGATATCAGCATAATCTCGCTACCATCAGAGCAGCCTACGATGCTAGAGTAAGGTAACAAAGTTTGGCTATCTTGGCTAGCAGAAGCCCGTATGCAACAGCTTGCGCACACGGACCCATACAAACATGGGTTTACAGTCTGCTCTGCATATCAGCAGGCAGTTCTGAAAAGGAGGTTACAACGCTTGNCATATCAGCAGGAAGTTCTGAAAAGGAGGTTACAACGTTTCATTTTACTGGTCGTCAGTTTCATAAGAGAACTTAAATCAACCGGGCAAGTTCGGAAAAACTCAAACACCCAGAAGGCCAAAGGGCGCGTTTTCTAGCCCAGTTAATTAGTAGTGCAAACAAACCCGAAAACCTTGATGGTACCCATTCAAATTTCGAGTGACGTCCACATCCCGGTTTTCTGCTAAGACATCAATGTTGTCGAGGATATCCAAAGTGCATAGCCCAATAAACTAAATTCGGTGTTCGATGGGCCGGGATAAGGCGTGTGAAAGTGAAGGTCCCTCAAGTGTTACTTCAGTCTAGGTACACGGATTGTACTGGCCTCAATATGTTGCATCCATGGTTTTACCGGTAGGCGTAGTAGACTTACCTCCATATGAACGAGCGATATCCAAGGCGATCAGGACTACCGTGGACAAACTATCTGAAAGGATTACACAAATATGGTCTTCTCCAAAAGGGACTACACTACTGAAACATGCCTCAGAATGTGAGCCAAAAGTGGTACCTTCTTATGGTTTACCTCATACGAGGATGGCTAATCCAGAGAGGGATAAGTTCGGCAAGCCACCTCCGGAAAGATACTACTTTGGTTGGCTATTCACGTGGTATTTCCAAAAGCGAGTCGGTTTGAGCGATGTTCTATTGAGAACATTACTTCCAGATGATGTACTTCTATCGAAATGCGGGAAGAAATATCCTCAGAACCCTATAGTTGCCACGTGAAGAGAATGGTGGGCGTTAGAGTGCACATCCGCCCAAGTGAAATATGGCATATGTTGACGTGCCCTGCCAACACCCATCCAAACATATTTATCATCTCCCAAAGAGACTGTTCCCCAAAACCGGTTAAATCTAATTGTCCCCTAAAATTTATCATTGATATTTGGGACCAGCCACGGGAAACCATATTTAACCTGTCACTTTATGTGGCCACTCCAAAGAAGGACGACCAAGGAGAAAATTTTTTAAGAACCAAAACATCTCGCCATGCGCTTGGTTTGGGACGAAAACTGGCGTAAGAATTCACGTCCTGGACACGTGGTTTGCTTGCTATTCACTGAAGGTCAGAGGTGGCCTCCCAGAAGGTAACACCTTTAAATAACTTTGCTCCTAACAAGAATGAGTCCCGCTCAGAAGCGCGTACTTCGGCGTACCCAGCATCACCTGTGTACTGAACAGTATCTTAGGCAGGCGACACCGACCATTGACCTGAGGTAGACGACTACCATATGAACTAACGAACGGGAACCCATAATGGTCACTGGATCCGAGCATCAATAATCACTGCAGTGATGACAAAACACTGAAACAACACAGATAAGACCTATTGAGATACTGTTCATGAAGCTATTTGTGTAGTCTTCAGCGATCCGTAAAAGTCCGCCAGCTTTTTCACCGTAAATTCAATCAATTTTTCGTCAAACCCTCAGTCCCGGACCAAAAATTGCAATGATTATGTTCAAAAGGATTATTTTTGGCAAGATTAATTGAAAGGTCATATTGTTATGGCAAAAAACGGTACAGTCGAGCGTGGAAAGTTTCATAATCTTAGCCTGGATAAAACACTCAGGACGAGATGGCTCAGTGGTTAGAAAGCGAATTCATTGACCAGAAGGTCCGTGGTTCGAACCGGACCTCTGCCTCTCGACTTCCCCTGTCTAGGCTTGGGCAAGCTGGAAGTATCCCAGCCCTCGTGCTTGCTTGTGGTAGCATGGCATGTAAGTCACAGCCATGTCCCAAGGACTGAGGAAACGCAACATATACCAGATTGGGAATACCAGTGCCCCAAGTAATAAAGGCGACCAATAATAATAGTAAATAGTAACAAATTATAATCATTAAGATAGAATGAAAAATAAGTGATAATACTACGACGGAGCTACTGCTCATTCACAGTATCGCGTCCGCTTGAGAGCCAACCGACCCTAACCCCTCTAGGCTTGATGCACATCATCTTCAGTATGAACAGTATGGAGTCTACACAATGACCCTCAAGCATAATGCGTATGCTTGCAATAAAAAACCGCTTTTACGTCATACTACCATGCATCGAGAGGTAAATATAACAGAAGCAAAACAATTGCCAGAAACGGCTGTAAATCAGACGCACGGAACAATAGCAAATAATCCAGAAATCTGACATCTGTGTGAAAGAAAATGAAAGTGTATATATGACTTTTATAGGCAAAATCTCGAAAGCCGTTGAAAGGTTCATCAGACTGGAGCCACACCGAGAAATATATGGCCTGAATTTGAGCGTAGCTGCAGGCAGCTCAACCACCTACGACTACACTGAAAGGGTAAACCGCAGATCGGTCATTACATATAACCTCCACGGCAAGGGCACTGCTAGGGGGGAATTCATCCAAACTAGAGATCGCAAATGTGTTCAACCAAGCTTTTTTGCTGTAGTGTGACGGGTTGTGCGTATCAATGGCTTATTAACCTACACAGGAAGTCAATGGTGTGACACTTGTAGAGTCTCTTAAAACAAGTTAGCCAATGAGTAGCGCTCAGAGAAGCTGGCCTCCAGATTGGGGGGTTGGAACCTGTGCAGAAACTTGTTGCTTACAAGTTTACCGTCATAGTCATAGGTGCCTTGCTAACAGACTCTTGAACCAAAGGTCCCAGTTGAGGGCCCTACTCGTCCCTTTGTACGGGGTTGGGCGCCTCACACACGACCATTAAAGGCTGAGCGTAATTATGATGAGGATGTTTCACTGGAATAATAATGTAGGGTCCCAAGAAATTCATTAGGTTAGGTATGCTACGAGTGGATTGAGGCCGCTTTAAATAAAGCTACGCTTAACAAGACAAAAGTTCTTTCCCCGAAATCCCGGGAGGAAAGGTTCGCGATATACATACTACAGAGAACACACTGAATTACATGTAAGAGGACTAAACAAGCTAGAGTCCTAGGTAATTGCAGGATTGCCTTAATTACATTTACAACTGAGATGTGACTGTCGTTTGTATTCGCGGACTTATACTGGAATCAATTTGGGCGCGTCTCGTACATGAACTAAAGACTTCTGGTGGAAGTTCAAAATTACACAATGATTACCATGAGCATGGAATTAAGCTGAACGCATAATTGGAAGTTGGAAGGCTGGGTGGAGGAGTAAGTGACGTTCATGAAGGCAAAATATGCATCACTAATCAGGACAAGGGCAAGTAGCCAGTCTGAAAGTGGTCGTGAGACACTCGAAGCATGGTTGTTGAAATCACAGTCCATGGTCTTATCCACCAGGAGACCTTGGTAATTCTTGGCAGAATGGTTAGTCCAATAGAGGACTTTAGAGTAGCATGCCTTCCCATAAGTGAAAAAATAACAATACATCTCTACAAGGACTACACCGTGTCGTTTCCACCGGGACCCCTGTTGGAACAACAACCCCACCGCTAGTTTTAAAATGCAGTCACAAAAAAGGAAGCTAGCGCTTACCGGGATACCGCCAGTGACCCGTTTACACGTTCGATGATAACAGAGCCCCCAGCGTTTTGAATGCGTTCTTTCTCCGTCGGGTTAATTGGTTTGTGGTCGACAGTGGCAAATGCAACACTCCCTTCACGGATAAGCACGGCTCGCGAGTCACCGCAATTAGCAAAGAAGATATGTTTTGGAGTTATCAGGACGCAAACAGCTGTGGAGCCTGATTTATCTTCGCCACTAGCAAGCTGAGGCAACTGACGTAACCGTTCATCCAATGCGAGAAAACCATCACGAATCCCACGCTCGATTTCGGGAATGCTCGGTGCCAAATCTGGATTGACCTTCTTGAACTCTTCCGTATCAACAATACACTAAAATGCAGTCAAGACAGCATGACGGAATAAAACCAAGTCACGTAGGGATTGTGAGTAGCGAATATATTATGATGCCCAAGGAAGGGGAAAAGTAAAAAAACTTATTATTTGTATCAGTGTCTTGTTTGTATACTAAAGTTCTATGAGCAAATAAACAATGCTAAATGCGTTCCTGTCGGGAGCTAACAGCACACTCAAGCCGTCACCGGAGTCCCCCGCATGTCATGTTTTAGGCAGACAGAGGCACTCCCACACTGAATAGTACTTGCTTCTCCAGAGACTAATTAAGGAATTTTTCGGACCAAAAAGAGAACGACTCTAGGTCTGTTTGTGGCACTATGTGTGAGACACTGCGTACCTGGATGCTTGTAAAAAAAGTTGCTCGGCCCTTGATGTTATAAGCGGACAGTATCGCTTCGAAATAAGAACCCGGATGAGACACAAAAGGGTTAACAGTGACTACAGAAGCACCACTATTTAGGTGGTCCCTAAAAACAGCGCACTTCCGAAAGACGAACCACTTCGATGATCGAACGGCACGACTCAGTCCCATCTATCGTTTCACCTCAGAAGAAAAGCTATTTTACTCTACCTTTCCCATCAAAGAGGAAAATATCTCTTCAGGACAATAGTCAGATCCACCACAAGAGGGTCGACCGAGAACTAAAGAAACCATTATGTAGAAGTGGTGCGTGAGAAAAGTGCATAAAATGGAATTTGGAAATAGCTCGATAGAAAGACCGGTACGAATGAGCTTGAGCTAAGCGAAACCAACCAAAAAGGATAATACGAATCCACAAGGACTTCGTTTACAACGATTAGCCGGATTCGTTGAGGATCGGTCCGCTCCAAAAACACTGCTGACACAATAGGCCTGCGTGTAATTGAGGGCTAGTCACTCAGCCCAGATGAAGTTCAGAAGGAATCCTCCTAACCTTTTCAAAAAAGGCATCTGATCCTGATTCCCTCTCGCCAGCTGTGTAAAATTAGCGTAGAACCGATTGTAAGGAGGACTAAAAGTTCTATGCATTGTTCACGTAGATTCGCATACACACATCGACTGTTGCTCCTATTCGCAAACTTGCCATTGACGCATAAAACGAAAAACACCGAAGCACCAGTCTAACTGCAACTACCTCACAAACCCCAGCAAGTGCCACGGTGCACCGTCATGAAAATCAAACAGGGTTCCGTCCAGGTCGTAGGGATACTGAATATGCTCTTAACCTTTGACAAAAATAATCTTTCAGCTGTAAGCCTCACTCGGTGCATAGCTGTCATTTCACCCGCATGAAGCACGAGGCCTGATTTACTATCAGCCTACCCAAATCGGGACAAGAGCAGCCGAGATGCTGAAGTCCGAACCACGAACCCTCAAGTCAGTAAAATCGCGCCTTGATCTGAGTTACCCCGAACTCAGTGTTTAACAACTTGTTGAACACTGTCACAGGTCCATAAAAAACAAAGTCATTGTCTTCCATGATCTTGAGGCAACGTTTGACTCAGTCAACCATTCATTTATTTTACGGTATTGCCCAACCAATAAAAAACAATCCAAAAAATCCCAATTTCACGGTGCTCACCATGAGCCGATACCCATAAACGTGTAAACACCTGCAGTTAGTCTTCCACCGAACCCACTAACTGGTTTCACTAAAAGCAGGACTCCGATAAAAAGTGCACCAAGTGTTCCCATCTGGTCAATTTCGCCTGACTGAACATGGCTTCTGAATGCTTCCAAACGATTAACTGATTCTGAAACTACCTTGGAAGCTTAAGGTGATGTTGCGCACTGAATAAAATCCGGTCTCGAAGCCAGTCACCTAAATATAAAATGAGGTTTTCCGAGCGTATTACCCGGAATATTAAGATAAAGAACAACACAAGCACACCATCTGGTAGCGTTATCACTCAACCACATAGGTGACCAAAACCAGTTTTGTCTCCCGAAAAAAAGTGCAGGGGTTAAAAACAGTTCTAAATAAAACACATACCATTCTGACTTGACCAAGCAGCTCAGAGGTAGTTTGGACTCGAATAGGCTAGTTGCAAACCTGAACACGCTAGCAAAGACCATATATTAAATTACACGACGGGTTACCGAAAGAATAATAAAAAACGATCTAATAAAAACGATTAATTGGTGACTGAATGTCGTAAAAATGCGAGCAGCTGTTGATATATCGAACGAAGTTGTGGGGTGTCAAAATAATGTGTACACGAAGACATTTAGATCTTCGGAGCCATCTTCAAGCAGCAAATTTAACAAACCGAACTTCTGCACGAATAACAATAGATCAAGCTCATCTCACTGCTGTCATTTTTTAAACCCTTCTCGCGCTTTCTGCGGCACATGTTGATCTGTCTCATTTTCATCACGAACCGGGTACAAACATCAACAAGTTAGCTGATAAAATGTATGGTGAAATGCCCACGGCTAGTATGATCACCGGTTTCCTGCTGATAACATATCCAAGCGTTCAGCGGCTCAGCATCCATTTGCCACACTGCCACCGATTACCTACGCACCGCACAACAAGGAGCGGATTCCCAGCTAACTTTTCACAACGTCGACACCTCAAGCTTGATAGTCAATGATAGAGTCCGGCCACCTGGCGCCAATGGCTGTGAGATCAACCTAACACCACAGTTGTCCAGCAGTAGGGGAACACTAGGTAGCACAGAAGCTTCTGAATCCAGTACTACGTAGGAGCATTTGTGGGTAGAGAGCTGCAAAAGGTACATAATCGTGATTAAGTGTTGGATCCAAGCTGGCCTGGTCACACACGAACCGAGATCGCCAGTAACTAGGATCATATCGGAAAAGACCGGTTTAGTTCTCGATAAGGTGTATCTATCACCGAATCAGAGCTAAATTTGGTTGGTGCACCTGCAGAAATCAGAGATAAGAAAAGGAGTATTATTTGATCTAGTATGTGTTTCTATGGGGCTGACGAATGGGCACTGCAAAGGCGGTTATTTGCGGAGACCTAGTCATGCAAGAAAGCTTTTGTTCGCAAGCCGACAGTCATACGATTACCGGCAAAACCCGCTGCAGCATATGCAGAATCATCCTAAGTTCGTAGGCGGTAGAGTGTGGACGTGTTTCAGAAACTCAGAAACTGTCAACACTGTGCGCTAGGACAGCTTGATTCAGAATTCGCATGAAACGAGAAAGTAGAACGAGGTCCTAGGATTGAAGCGAACCCGCAAACTTGAGTTGTGGCAAGAAATTTGTCGCTTTCTCGCCTTTCTGTATGAAATAAGTATGGCGACCCGCCTGATGGCAACACACGATGGCCGATAGGGTATGAAATTATGGGCATTCGTATATTTCACAGTTGTATGCGGGCTGATATCACCAGGGCGCCAAAATCTAGACAGAGGGATCAGTGGGGTTCTCAAACATAGAACAGCCTGGGGGGAACCCCGTTGGACATTCCTCACTTCAGCGCAGTGGATTCCGCAGATGCACGGTAAGAAACGGCTTCTTTGTAGCTGGATCCTGTGATTGAGGCAACGGATGCAAATCAGACGGATCATCTACTAAGGGGTATAAAGTCTTGGGCAACGAAAGACAACTCAAAGGCTGATGTATGGATTAATGTCAGGGGTGTTTTTGGATCAAACCTACTCCACTCCCGCAACTTCATCTGTTCCTGAATACGCCTATCCAGGTTTCTAGTATCTCAGTTTTTCCTTCTCTTAAATAGCACGGTGTCGATGTGCCAAATACGCTCCATGTATAAACCTCTTGATGCATGATGGCAACACTCCGGAAGGTCTGTTATACAGGAACTTCCGATGGCGAGGAAGCTTACGCTTATCATAGTGTGAAGATCTTCGCATAGTCAATAGCAAATACTGTTCCCAAATAAGTTGAAGGTACTCACCGTATAACTCGATATCGAAGACAGTAGTTTCCTATCACCATCTCGTGCCTACAAGTATCTGGGTGCTGATACCACTTACCAATTTTTTAAATTAACTAAGAGGGTCGCTAAGAAAATCATCTGGTCGTTTCTTGATCCATTCGCGTTGATTCACCTCTACACATATACGAATAAATAACTATTCGTTTTCCAATCATAACAGCAGCAAGAAGAACAATATGAATTCCAATAGCCGAAAGCTACAAGTGAAATCTAGAACACCCCTTGTATACGGATTCCATGAGAATGCTCTGATATGCCGGAGATTGTCCAAAGCCTAAGCACCCGAGAAAATTCCCATATCTCAAAAAATATACAAAAATGCGATGAGGTGGTGTACGCAGTACGCATGTTGGCGCAAGGCAAGGAGGAGATGAAGTCTTCTATCCTGAGACATTAAAATGGAAGCATCCGTTGTGGACAATGTACAGGAGGTTGTAGGGTACAGCGTGACAAAGTCAGTTAACCAGGGCAAACGCATGCTTGTAGTCCACCAATCGTAGGGTTCCTATCCTGGGTATGGAAATTACTAGAACGGTCGGGTAACTATACTCGCTAGTTGTAGTACAGGATAAAAAAGGTGCACGCTCAGTTCCTCTGACCACAGCTGCTCTGTGGGTTTCCAGCAAGTTGTAAAAAGGTAAAGCCCACCGGCCATAACGAGTGTTTTCGACTCTTTCATATATTAACTGAATAGCCCGCGCATTGAAACGGTGGGAGCCGATTTCGCGAGTTACACTACACTTCCCGGTAAGCATTTTTCAGCCACTTGAGTTAATGCGCGCCTCAATGAGCGTCTGCCGTATATGTACGCATTAACATTGAGATCAAGGTAGGTCAACTTATTTTCCAGTGAAACTGAAAGTACGAGAAGGATACCACTTAGGTTTAAGCTAGCTTATACTAGTACTGAATACTAGTACTGAAAAAGAACCGTACTGTAGAGTAGAGCATTGCAAAAAATCGACTGTAATAGCCACAATAGTGAGAGATACGAAACGCAAAAGTACTAACATACCTTGAGTAATTCACTTGCGCACATAGCTGAGACCAGCGCCCCAGCATGGCCATCAAAGACGGCGAAAAAAGACCAGTCTTTTAGATTTCCTGGAAGTTGTGTGATTGCACAATGCGCGTCCTCCATTGTAATGCGCCATCCCTGCATGCTTGAAATGCCATATCGGAGGCCGTTTCCGGAACCCGTTTCGTTATACTTTTCTGTTTTTGGTGTCGACAATAGTGCACCCATTTTTCTGAGTTAAGCGTTGTTAGCGAAGCTGAATATGTAAGCAATGCGCCGACAGCAGACCAAGTCAAAATGTGCTGAAGCGAAGAGAGACATGGATAACCAGTAGTGAGGGAGTAAACTGTTAAAAGCAGCAAGACGTGGACGGCACATCTGAGTCACATCCGGAGTCGGGATCCATTTCACTAGTAACACCACCAGACGCTAATGCACGTACATTGGTCAGACCACATCCTGAATACTCAAGTTCTTCAGAAGTCAAGAAGGTGGGACGCATGGTATCAGGATCGATCCACAAAAAACTGATGTATGGATAGTCGAATAACGGCTTGCCAAGGAAGGCAAGGAAATTACAGAGACTGATTTCAGGTTCGGGAAGCTGAATTCGACTTTAGATCAAAAGGAAATATGGCATTAGACAGATAACCTGGGAAAAACACCTACGCGGGTGTAGGGCATGGCAACTGAAAGATTGGCAGACCCGGATGTCAGACGAACTTATAAGAATCGTCTTCTAGAGTCTCTTCCAAGTGCTCCACCATCAGATGGGACGAGATTGCCACCTCTTTGCATAGTGCTGGGAATTTTGCCTGTGGCACGACCCAACCAGGCGCACTCAAGCACTGGATATCAGATCGAACGGTGGCACTACTTAACTCTCAAAGAAATATCCCAGCCGGTCCAGAACATAATCCGGTGCGAAGAGCTATTAGGTGGACACAGAAAGCCAAGGAAATTAAAGAGGCCCAGAAAGCCGGTAATGCCCGGAGATTATTTCAGTTGATCCGTGCGACCGGTCCCCGGAAACCACTTGTGAGTGAAACTATCAAACACCAGAATGGAACGACCATCTCCAAAAAAAAAGAACACCTCAACCGATGGGCTGAATACTTCGAACTACAACTGTCGTGGCCTCCAGCCGGCACTTATCTAGAGCCCACAGGTGAAGTAGAACCCTGGACGGTGAACGTGGAACCACCTACGGCCTCGGAGGTTTACGACTCCATATGCTCCCTCAAGCGGCACCGAGCTCCCGGTCCGGATGACCTTCCACCCGCACCGTTCAAAGAAGGGGGTGAAGTCCTCAGTCAGCGCTTGTCCGATCTGTTTCCTTGCATTTGGGAAAAGGAGTCTGTCCCAGACAACTTGGGTGAATCGGTGATAGTGCCCATTTTCAAAAAAGGGGCGCGTAGTGAGTGTGGTAA